GAATGACTGACCCAGGTTTTGCTGATCTCACCAGGTGTCACCCTGATCATATATTCCCTTCTCAAAAACCGTCAGTAGTTCCCATCTGCCTGTGGGGGTAATTTCAGGCTCTTTTCCCCAGCCTCCCACAGCATGACCCAACCTCGTAGTCCTCCATTTTCTCTTTTCATCCAGAATAGTCTCCAAAGTGGGGTGCAAGTTCCTAAAGAGGAAATTCCGTTGGGACACTGGAAGAAAATACTAGAGACTCTTCTTAATGTTCATTTTGGTCTAGAAAAGGAATAGGAAAGAAATGAAGCTTTCCTCCCATTTGAGGCCGGGATGGACAGCGGCTCCGGCAGCCCGCGTGTCGGGCAGCGGGGGGCCGTCACGGGGGCCCCACGAGGCCTCCGCTGCGTGGAGGGCTTGACCGGGGGGCCTCGCTGCTTTTCATTCACTCCTCAGTTTTCCCTTCTCTGTTAAGTGGATTTACAGATTATATTACTTAGTTTTAACTAAATTAACTCTCCCAAAAGGACAAGTGGCTTAAAGAGATTGCTACAAAGAAACTGGGTTGTAGAGTATGCTGATAATCCAAACACAGGCAAACAGGGAAAACACAGCAGAGCTGACCCTTTTCGAGCCACATTAAGAAGTAAAAACAATGATAATGGAATCACGTCTGATCAGAAGTCCCCCAAATAATTAATGTTCACACAGACTATCTGAAAGAGATTACATCTGTGTTAGTGATGAGCCTAATCCTAAGTGGGCATGCAGTGTTAGTTTAATGATGTTACACAACCATCATTAACAAGCCATTAAAGTATGGTTTCACTTTGACCTACTCTTTTTTTACATTTTAATTCAGCAGTACATGCACTTAAATTTATAAATACATTTACATGCATAAGGGATATTTGCCCAGAATGTTTTATTCATGAGAGCGAGATCCGAATAATTAGAGATTCCTGTTCAAGATCAGCAGCCAAATTGCTTGCTGCACCCCCTTCCGAACCCCAGCCTTCCCACTGGTCCAGTCGCCAGCACCGCCCTGCAGTGCCCTTTCTCCCCTTACGCGTGCACGGCCCAGAAGGCCCGCCTTCAAACCCTGGATCCGGAAAACCTTTCCTGAAAACACAAAATTGAAAATGCTCTCCTTGCCCTGCTCTTATTTGCCATTTCCCATTTGTGACTGAACTGGTAATCAGTGAAGGTTTTAGAGTGAGATACAACGTGAGAGCAATCCCCGCACTTCAGTGGCTTTGTGCAACAAAGTTTTATTTTTTCTCCTGACATAGAATTGTGCTGCCTTGGGGTTGGAGAAGCAGTGGCAATGGAAGCTGTTCTCTAGTTCTCTAGCTCTTGACTGCATTGGTCTGGGAAGTGACAGGCAGCGTGCTCATTTCTACCTCATTGCCAGCACCAGTGCATGGCCCTAGGCTAATGGCAGAGGAGGCTGGGAAAAGAGGACGGACGGGTATCTGCAGAGCACTAGCTGGCTGATGGCCCATGTTTTGCTTTAAGCGTCTCAGGACTGAATCAATTTTCTATTACAGTGCTGGCTTACATACTTATACGTAATAGATTGCAGTAATATTTTCTTTCTTCCCAATAGCAATAAAGTCAAAATAGACAGTTTTTAAATAGAAGACTCGTACACAGAATTTGGATAAAGAATAAGCTAGATGTAGTTTTAGAAGCTGGCTCATACTTAAGAACATAAAAGCAATAGTTATCCTCCCTTGTTTGACATCAGAGTGGTCTAGGTCGCCGTTCTAGATACTAGTCTAAAACTGGGTTGTCCAGTGCAAGTGAACATGTCCTGTGTCACTTCTGGGCCAGGCAGTTAAGTGCTAGAAAACTATACCTAGTGGTGACCACTACCTACTATGTGGCCACTTAAATTTAAAATAAAAATGTAATTCCTCAGTCATAGTAGTTATAGTTTTAAGGATTTCATAGCCATAAGTGGTTAGTGGCAGCCTAGCGTTTTGGACAGCACAAATATAGAATGTCTTCATCGTTGCAGAAAATCCCATTGAGGAGTTTGGGGCGGGGGGGGGGGGGGGGGGGCGGAACAGCAAGAGATTGTCCTAGATTAGGGTATAAATGGTAGAAAAGTGACAGTGACCACACAGAGAGTTCCTGTAACAGATAGTGATCCATTACATTATGCATAAGAAAGTAAATTAAAAAACTGTAAATTGAGTTCTAAAAGCAGTTCTAGCAGTTGGTTAATCCAACCCCAGGGAGAAGGAGCGTTGGACTAGGAGTCAGACCCGACTCGCACCCCTAAGTCGCCCGTCTTAATTAGCTGGGAGACCTCCTGCAAATCACTCTCTTCTCCCATTTATAACACTCAATGCCCAGTAGGCATTATTCTAAGCTGTTTTATTTTCTCTAAGGGTTCCTCCTAATTTAAAATGTTTCCCTTTAGTTAGGCCTGTGAGTACAACTTTTTAAGTAAAAACAACCTTTTTTAATCCCTCTCTTAAATCTACCTAAACTCACATATTCAGCCCTCAGAGAATTAAATTCACTTGCTTCCCCCCGCCCGTGCCCCCTGCCCTTGGCGCTGCCCTGTGCGGGATCGCCACCTCCTCGGGAGCGCCACCTCCTTCCTCGGGGCGGGGGCCGCCGGTGCTCACTGCCGCTAGGCATCCCTGTTGAGGAGGAAAGCTCCTCTCTGCCTTGGAAGAGAGTTGGGAAGCGTGAATTTCACTCTACAGAATTGGGAACATGCGAAAAATGTAACTTAGGGTTAGAGATATTTCTTTTCTTAGGTAGCTAGCCCCTCCCAACCAACGGAACAAAAATTTTGTCAGATATGTTTCTTGCCACTGAATATTTTTAAAAAGCCTTTTCTATGCTTTTTAACAGGAGAGCGTGAACTGCTAGATCACATGCTCTCCTATTCAGCTCTTCTTCGTTACTGGTCATAGGCTGTCCAAAGGGTGTGCTTTGTATTTTAGATCATGGAGGTCTCCCTCATGAGAGAGCTGCAGGGGCCCAGGTGATCCGGGTGACATGTGGCTGTTGTCTCTGTCACTTTTGCTTGAGCCAGTCAGCCGCCCTCTTGGGAGAAGTTGGAGCTGGCCATCTCCTGCTGATGATCAACTCTCAGTTGTTTGTAATTTTCTTGCAAAATAAATACTGAGACTATAATTTCTCATGCTTGTTCTCAACCTCAGAAGTGTATTCTGTTGTTGTTGTTTTTGGAAAGGTTCAAAAACGTCTACTTGGTGGAGACTATTTCAGTGGGAACATATATGTCAGCAGTTAAACTTTTCAGACAGGTTTTATGTTTCGTGTCCAAATAATACTTTAAAAAGCAAGAAGTTAGGCCTGAGGAACTGATGTCAAGAATTCATTTTTCCGTCTAATTTTTGATTTTTAAAAATCTCTTTTCCTGAGAAAATACATAGAAAATAAGGACCTAGACATACTTTGCACTGCTAAGAAAAATAACAGGCCTTCCTGTTGCTTTCGCCCAACTTTGAAATTATTCCTGTTCATTTCACGGTGGGTCGAAGTTACACTGCAAATGGTACTTCAGTTTAGCCTTCCTTGCTTTTTATTTATTTATTTATTTTTAAAATCATGGAAGCAAAGTGCACAGAAACCTGTATCTTTGGAATTACTTTTCTAGATCAAACTCATTGGTGAAGTTGGTCCAGGAAATAACCAGTGACCCCAGCTGTTACATAAGATGCACCGTAGGTAGGGTGCCCCCCCGCGGCCCCATGTTTTTGTCATGCTTCTGCTGTTACTTGAAGGAAACCTCAGTGTCCTGCTTTGGCGTCATTAAATGGAACCTCCTTATGATTTTGTTGTGGGAATTAATGAGTTAACTCTTCTCCTGCCTTGGGGACCTGCTTCCTCTCACTCTCTCTTCCTCCACAGCTACATTCTTTTCTCCTGGTTGCATTTAAAAGCAGGATGGTGGCCGGCAGCAGCAGTGGGGTCTGTTTCCATTTTGAACCTTGTAAATTACCAAGGGTGCAGAAGTAACAGGAATTGTTTGGCTGCTCCTTGTTAAGCAGGAGGGGGTCGGAGCTGAATTTCCTCAGTAAAACCTTTGCGGAGTTTACAACCCAAACACCTCTGCAGCCACCCTGTGCTGCGATAAGAAACAGCCCTCCTGTCCCTCTTTGTCTCCTGGTCTTCTTTCTTGCCCTTCATTACTTTGTATTCCTTTTCTCTGCCTTCCAGCTCTTCCTTCCTTCCAGCTCTTCCTTCCTTCCTTGGGGCTGGGAAGGAGCAGGTGTCCGCAGGCTCCGGGGAAACTGGATGGTGCTAGGAGCACTCTAGTTCCCTAAAGTCCTATAATCGGTAATTCATGCCGTGTTCTAGATAAAAGTGTTATTTCACTTGGGGGAAAATAGCCAGTTAAAACAAGTATCTGGAAAATTGAGAAGACACCAAAAGCTTGTTTTTTGGTATTGGTTTGTAAACATGTAAGCGAACTTTCTCTCTAGAAATCACTGTTGAAATTTCTCACTGTTCTACATCACCTGTATTCCAACTCTGTTAAGCACCCTCTGGGTGCAGAGCACTGATAGGAAATGGGTGAAAAGGCTATTATTGTGGTTCAAAGCCCAGGGCTTAGGCATGAACCCAACCTGGGTTCCATTCCAGGCCTGCAGTTACGTGCTCTAGAGCAAGTTACCCTGGAACTTGGCGTTCTCACCTGGAAGATGGGGGTACCAGCCTGCGCTTGACAAGGTTTTAAACAGAGATTGAAAGAGCACCTCCCACAGAAGAGCCTAGCAAGAAACCTTTAGTGGTAGAAGGCCTGTCCCACTGCCACCCCAAACGCCCAGCCTCCATACCTCCCCGGCCACCCTCACATCCTTTGCAGATTTCCTCTATTTCACTTTGTTAGTAACGTGACCTTTGATCTACTGAATTGTTCAAAAAAGAGCAAAAGCTCTCCATACTAAAAGGAAAATATTTTAACTTGTCAAGAAAGAACTTTTGAAAAGCTTCTTTTCAAGTTTTTCTTTCCCCTTCTATAGGAAATGTCCCCTTGTCCTCGCCCAGAGCGATGGAGGAGTCTAATGTTGAAGACACAAGACAAAGGGAGGGATTAAAAATCAAAGGGAAAGAATTCTTTCTTGGAAAACATTCTGAACATCAGGCTGGTCCTCGATCTAGTTTGGAGGGGACCCTGCTGGCCAGAGTGAATGTGGCCCTCTTGTCTGTCAGCAGCCAAGTGAAAAGCCAAAGGGACGATGGAGTTTGGAGAAGGTAAAGCTTCAGGCAAACCTCTAGCACAAAGCAGGAGCCCCGAAGCCCCACCTTCACCCCCTGTGTCAGCAGCCATCTTGCAGGCAGCCAGAACTTCAGAGGCTGGGGAGCGCCACGCGTCACTCAGTTGGGTAGCTTAACTACTTTTCCTGACTTTTCAATGGTGACTGTAAGTCTCTGAAAGAGTCACTGGTTAGATAACTGGTGCAGAAGAGTGAACATTTTGAATATATGTCACACTCCTGGAAATAACTATTAATATTTCCACCTGGGCATAATTCAGGACAATGCGTTCACTGTAGGTTATCGGCGTGTTGCCTTCACTGTTACCTGAAGCTCACTCTGCTGCCTCCCTGCCCAATAAGGATGTTGACACACTTTCCTTATTGGCCTGATGTCGCTAAGTACCCCAGTGAAAGCATGGAAGCCGGACCTTGGTTTCAGCTGTGACAGAAGTGTGCGTTAGAGCATACACCTGTCTCTCTGTGATTTTGATGAGTCTTTTAAGGATTGTAGCTTGAAGGAGGCTTAAAGAAAGAAAACTGGCAGTCAGGAAGAGGGTGGCTGATATCTGAGAACAGTCAGCAGGGGCTGGAGGTGCAGTGAGGTCGAGGGCCCCAAAGCAATGTTGCCCTGGGGTGGAGAGGCCTCATGGTCAGTCTGTTGGCAGGAGTGCTGATTTCGTGGAATTAAAGAGTGTCAGAATTCCAGCATCAGGGGAGATAGGAAGGCGGCGGCCTCAGCTGATGAATGGCTTTTGTCTGTGTGGGGGCGGCTAGGGGTCACACACAAGCTGGGGAGGGTGGGTTGATTCTAAGAATGAAAAAAACATTCACAGAGGTACAGGTATAGAGTTGTGGAGAGTCAAAGCCTGACATCTCTGAGCCTCGGAGACTTCAGGACTCATTCATTAGTAACGTCCGCTAAGCAGGGTTTCAGCCACCCTGCGAGGGTGGCAGCGCTGTCCACAGGGTCCGTGCCGGCGGCATGTGGCCGAAGGCATTTGGCCTCCTGCAAACCAACGGCAACAGTAGCTTCATCTTTTTCCAGCATCCGCACTAGATACTCACCTCCTCTCTTTGTCCTGGGTCCCCTGTCCCGGTTGCTTTTGGTGCACTGGGCAAGGCTCTAGCATTCTTACCATCATAGAATCACCTCCTAGCCCAAGGTGTGGGGGTTAATGTAGAAGAAGCTTCATCTAAATGAGAAAAGAACAGGGTTCTGGGACAAAGCCAGGCATTGTGGCTCCCCTACGGGCGTCCCAGGCCTTCTCAGCACAGCCATTTCTCTCTCTCACACAGTGTGTTGCAGGAGACGGCAGAATCTCTTTGAGTGACCCTGGTGGCTTATGGGACATTGGCTTCGGACCCTTTGTAACACACCTTGCCGCGTGGGATGATGATGCCTCGGAGAGGAAAGAGGCCCAAGGTTGCACTCGCCTGCCTCCTCTTAGCCACGGCAGGCTGCTTGGCCGACCTGGGTGAGTGCTGCCGCCCTCCCCTTTCTCAGCCCGCCCCTTCAGGAGAACACTTCACCCTAATGTCAGATGGAAGCATTGCACGTTCTGCCAGAACCCTTTCAAAAGCCCCTCCTCCTTTAGCTTTTCAAAGAACACTTCATTCCCACTGGCCTTCAGGACCAGGCTCAACAGTACAAGGTGAGAAATGATCTCAACAACACCATATGGGTTATTTGGGGTATTTTAACCATTTCCAGTACCTATCAGAGGAGGAGGAGGAGGAGGAGCAGTAATAATAACTGCTCTTTACTGAGCATTTATTATGTGAGATTATGGCAGGCAGTTTACAGTGTTTCTAAGCTTCACAACAACCCTCTGAGACAAGTATTATTATCCCCATTTTACAGAGAAGAAACTGAGACCCAAAAAGGCTATAGTCACATGGCTCAGAAGCTGTGGGACTGGGATTCAGACTCAGATCCATCCAACGCCAAAGCCCGAGTGCTTGCCTTTGTACCTTACTGTCTCTCCATTCTAGTGTCCGGGTTGGCGACAGGGACAGGTTGGCGAAGGGACCCAAGCACAGTCATATTCTTCAGAGAGAGATCAGCTCCTCTGGGTTGTTCAGCTCTGAATGGCTGCCTGGGTGCTGTGCCTCTAAAAAAGGCCCATTGTGGGATTCTTAATAGTCTTACTTCATTGCTGTCTCCTTGTTCTTCCCCCAGACAAGGTCCCTCAGGTGACCGTCCAGCCTCCTTCCACTGTCCAGAAGCTCGGAGGAACTGTGATCCTGGGCTGTGTGGTGGAGCCCCCGTGGATGAACACCACCTGGCGCCTGAACGGGAAGGAACTCAATGGTTCGGACGATGCTCTGGGTGTCCTCATCTCTCGCGGGACCCTCGTCATCACCGCCCTCAACAACCGCACCGTGGGACGGTACCAGTGTGTGGCCCGGATGCCTGCGGGGGCCGTGGCCAGCGTGCCAGCCACTGTGACACTAGCCAGTGAGTGCTGTCCCTTCTGTGCCAGGGTGCAGTCTCTCTTCCTCTTGCCCGTTCCCCCCCTCTCCCCCTGCCCTTCATAACCCACCTTTAGTCTTACCGTACAAAGGATCTTGATCATTGCAGTTTGAAATTGGAGTGTGGTGGCTGCCCGGCAGTCCCAGTGGTGGGGGCCACGTGCCCTTGTGAAGCCACCGTCTGAGTAAGAGACTTGGAAGTGTCTGGGGTGAGTGTCTAGAAAGGGGGGAACTGACATGGTTGAACTGGTTCTGTGGGCCCAAGGTGGGCCCCGCCATGTCTTCCTCCTTGGCCACTCGGTGGTTCTAGGTGGTTGTGCCAACTGCTCACTATCCCCTCCATCCTCTGCACGCGGCTGCATTTGGAGCGTTTACAGGGCTATGTATGGTCTGACCAGAGCCCGTCCATCCTGCGCTCTGTGAGGGGCAAGCATATAACAAATGCCTGGAATATAAGATGTAAAACACGATGAAAAGGAAACTGTGAGAAAGGCCTAAAGAGAAGAGAAAGAAGGATGAGATTAGGTGACAGTGTGGCCCAAGGAGGCTACCAGGAGAGGACTTCACGCTACTCTTACGTATAATCACCACTGGGTCTGCCGTGGTGCCGAGGTGCCGCACGCGCATTGCCTGGTTTTCCACCCACTGTACACATGGCAGATGAGACTTGACTGATTAAATCAGCTTCCGAAGGAAGCCCCATGCCCGTCCTTACAAGCTGAGTCTAGACCTAAGAAATATTAAGAATTACCTCCCCTTTCCTGCACCCCAAAGTGTAGGGCATAGATAAATGCGCTGAGACTTTAAGGGTGTTTGGATTTAAACTGTGAGATCTTCAAGGCTTGTTCAACCCCTGTGCCTTAGCGGTGCCTCCTTCTCCCTGACAGCCCTGCTTTGGGCTTCCAACGTCCCCGCGATCATCGCGCACCCCACCCCCCCACCCTGCGTGAGGTGGCTCCAAAGGGTTGGTGGCCTTTAGGTTGTGGGTCGTGTCTAAGACAGCAGACTCCTGAAATGCTCCTCTGTCAAAGTCAGCTGGTGTCCTTGGGCTGTGAGGCGGGAGACCTGGGAGGAGAGTGATGAGACGCGGGGAAGTGAGAAGTGGGAGAGAAAAGACACTTTTCTGGCCTCTGGTTCCCAGACCCCTGGAGGGACTCCACTCCATGGGAAGCAGCGAAACAGCCCTGCCCTTTCCACAGAGGAGGGAGAAAGGCAGAGTGGGGCCCCGGCCCCCCAGGAGGCCAGGCTGCACCTGGGCTGCATCTGGGAGCCCCGCCTCCCAGGAAAGCCACTTTGTGGCAGAAGGAGCACCCAGTGAGTCTGTATGCTGGGCCTCCCGGGAGCAGGCCAGCAGCTGAGCCCTCCCCTCCAGCTGTGCCTCTGGGGTGATTGGAGGACTCGGGAGACCTGGGTGAGGATATGGGAGGGGGCTGAGGGGTCATCTCTTCGTAAAAAGCAAGGTCGAGGTCAGAGCTACACTTCCTACGATCATAGTCCCCTTTTATATTTTTAAATTATAAAATCACATTATAGAAAGTTTAGAATATGTAGAACACAATGTTTCTCCTGAGCCCCCCGCCATCGTCACACAACCACCCTCCTTTTGGAGTACACCCTTCCAGTGCGTATCCATACCCATATTTTTACACTGTTGTGATGATACTACTGAGTATGTAGTTTCTACCCTTATTCTCTTCCCCTTGACATTGTATGATAAGCATTTTTCATTGGCCATATGACCGTTTTTACTTTTTCTTTTTTATCGACTATGAAATGCATCCAATAAAGTACATATGGTATGCTAATGTTAAGTGAACAATCTCATGCATTTTTCATGTATGTACACCGAGTAATCATTATTCCAGAAGGTTTCCTCATGCCTCTTCCTAATTAATCTGCCCCATTCCCCACCAGAGCAGGATCATCATTACTCGTGACCCTAGAATGTCCCAAGTGTCTCTACCATAATGTCCTGAATGTTTTTCCTATTGTCCATTAGGTTGCTTCCAGTTGTTCACTATTACAAATAAGATGTGCTTTTTAGCAACATTTGGGCCTTTGAAGGGTAATACTGCTCATCAATGAGTGTTCATCTGCAAATGGTCAGCACATGTCTGTGAAGGCTCAATACTGTTCATCTGGCCTAATTAGAAGCCAGCCCGAACCTTTTATTGTTTGGAAGAAGGGAGAATTGGAGAGTAGAAGATTTATTTTGGAGCCCTCCTTTTACTTCAAGGTGTATCTGTATGAGGAGAGACAATTTATAGCTTTATTTTTAAAAAATTCCTGGCCACCTCTTTCTCTAATGCTTGAAGGGATCTGCAGTTGGCAGTGAGGACAAAGGGAAGGGTTTGGTTGCAACCCAAAAAGGCACAGTGAGAGAAGAAGGGGCTTGTGCAGAAGCCAACCGAGCCTTGTTTGAAAGCCAAGAGCTATTGGCTTGTCATTTAGACATGAATCAGAAGTGAAATGTTTGGGCCTGACCAGGAGGATGGAAAGGTTCTGGAAATCAGGAGACGGGTGTGGAGGGAGTTGTGTCATGGAGAACAGGGAGCTGGTGGAGTGGGACTGCAGCCTCCCAGACTTGGAGGCAGAGGGAAGGCAGGAGAGGCGGGAAGAGGGGTGCTGTCTTTGGGTTAATGCCATGGGGCATTTGGCCTGGACTCAGCAGTTAGATTAAGTTTCCGAAAGCACATTCCTGAGCAGAATGGGGGCTGTGTTTTGCTGGTTGGCTGGTATACGAGGGAGGCTGAGCAGTAGAAGGGATTACCAAAGGCATAGTCTGCATTTAGAGGCAAGGCAGGGCAGCAGCGTGCTTGTGTGCACGCACACACAACCCGTCCTCCCCCGCTCCTCCCCCACCCCCGCGTGTGAGACTTCCTTTTCCTCTGGAGCCTCTTGTGCAAGTGTTCAGATGTTTATCCTTAGACAAAGCCATTTGCCGTGTGTCCTACCTGGCAAGACTGCCGCCTGCATCTTAGTGAACTTCTTTTGATGATGGGGGCTAGGACGTGCATGACCCGCGGATTCGGAGGATGGAGGAGGCCTCCGGCAGGACTTTCCTGGTCCAGACCTCTTACCCTGAGGCTGGGGGGTGGGGGTTGCGCTTAGACTTCATCCCTTCCTGGTGACATCAGCTTCTGGTCTTCAGGTAAAATTGAACTACCTGGAGAGTCTCACCTGTGCACTCCTGCCCTCTACTCCAGGCTGCCCTCGCCACATGGATAATGGCTATCTTCACGCTCTGTGGAGGTGTCTGTCCCAATCTTCTATGTGGAGAATTTGTTTTCCTATTGAGCTTAAACTTTATTTGTGGTAAATGTCTCTTGCTGCTAATGCCTCACTTCAGACCTCCTTGTCTAATTTTTGGTTTTTGAAATGCTTGGGACCTTGATCTCCTTTACTCCTTTTATGTTTCTCTTCACAAGCTTTATACCAGGAGGCTAAACACTTGACATGGTTCAAATGTTCCCGCTCTGTGCCAATAGCAGACATTGCCAATGGACACCATATTCCTTCTTCCTGGCCCTGATTCATCCTAAGACTTGCTCTCACACAGCATAGCAAGTGCTCACAACCAGTGCTCCAGATCTGGCATTCAGTGTAAAAGCTGTTTTTTATTACTTACCTCTAATAAGCTACCATTCAGATGATTATTTCTACGTGATTCTTCATTTTTTACTTTTTTCCTAAAAGTTTTAAATTCTCCCAATTATCACTCCTAGGTTTCAGTTGACAATGGAAATAAAGTAGGTGGTATAACTAGGTAGTAATTCTGTACCTGGGAATTCTAGTCCTCAAGCTAATGTGTTAAGCTGATGCCGATTTAGTGAGGTGGCCCTGTAACTCCTCCACTGAGGCCTTTCAGCACTTAGGCCAGGCTCATACTCATTCTGGCGTCCCTGTCAGTAGGTGAGACAGTGGACAGGAAAGGAAGGAGATCCCCTTAGGCAGCTGTCTCCATGACTCTGACTTTAAGGAAAGGTCAAAAGATGACAAGGGTCATTTGTTACCATAATTTAATTCATGGATACAATGAAGAGCCAAACTGGTATAGTGGAAATAAAACAAGAAACTGGGGGGAAAAAGATAATGGGTTTAAGTTTCAACTCTGACACTTTGAGGAAATGTGTGACTGTGAGCAAGTCACTTAAGCCCTCAGATGGTCACAGCTCTGAGATGAGCACAGTAATAATTACAACGTCACTCTCATGGCTTTTATTTATTTGAGGACCAAATGAGAGAATATGTGATGGTAGTAGTTTTAAGCATTTTGTAAATTCCAGGCTTTATTCATCCACCACTTTGTTCAACAAACATTTGTGGCGTGTTTTCTTTCAGGAGTCTCTGGGCCCATGTCCCACCCTGAGCTGCCCAACTCCATTCTGGGAACAGCCCTTCAGAAGAAAGAGTTCAGGGGGTGACAACGCTTCCAGTCAGAGCCAGAGCCCAGGGAGAGGACTGGCTTATTAGGAAGTGAGAGCTAATTCACGTTCTGTGAGTGTCTGTTCCCCCGCTGAGTGCCTGTTTCCCAGTGCAGCGCCCCATCTCCCAGCTGCCCGTCCGAGCAGCCCGTGGTGGCACTACACTGTCGTCACGGTGGCCCACAGGGCTGCCCATGTATGCCTCTGTTGGTACACAGCCGCTCGTTCTTCCAACCGGACAGTCATCGGTTTACTCTGGCAAGCAGGGCCCCCAGAGTGGTGAATTCCACAAACAGAAGCCATGACTCCTTTGTCTTACCTCCCCACAACTCAGGTTCCCCGCAGGTACTTCCGTAAGGTCTTCTGGGCTCTGACTATGAACTAGAACAGGCCATTAAGGACCACTGTAGACATTTCTTAAAGTATTTCTAACTTCCTTCATCCCTGTTTTAGTCAGGGTTCTACAGAGAAGCAGAACGAATTTTACATAAATACATAGAGAGGGAGAGAGAAAGAGAATTAGAGAAAGGGAAAGGGGTGAGAGAGAGAGGGAGAAAGAGAA